GCTATTGCTAGAGCTTTGATCAAAAACCCACGAATATTATTATTAGATGAAGCTACTTCTGCTCTTGATACTGAATCTGAGCGATTAGTACAAGAGGCATTAGATAAGGCTGCTATGAACAGAACAAGGTATTCTTTTATTTTTCTTTGTGTTGCGTATTTGATATTTTACTTAATAGTGTCCATTATAATAATAGTATAATAATAGCACATCGATTGTCAACTATTAAACATGCTGATAAAATAATTGTTATGAAAAAAGGTGAAATTGTTGAAATTGGACGTCATGATGAATTAATTGATAAAAAAGGAGTTTATTTTGGCCTTGTTCAAGCTCAAGAATTAGAAACTAAAAAAACCGAAAAAAAAATTAATCAAGATGAAGAAGAGGAACTTGAATCAGCTCCTAGTTCTAATGATGATACTACTATTTTAATAGATGAAAAGAAACATAAATTACATTTAAAAAAAACTTCTAACAGAGAATCAATTATTAAATCCCTAAAGACTGATGATGGAATTATAAATGAAGAAATGAAGAAAAAATTATTAGAAAAAACACCATTAGCAAGAATATTTCGAATATGTAAATCTGAGTATGGATTAATGTTTATTGGCTGTATTGGTTCCGGAAGTATGTTTATATTATTAATTAATTTTGGTATTGCGTATTTGAATTATCGTGTTTCACTGTGAATTAATAATTTTAAAAAAAAAGTTAATGGTGCTATTATGCCTTTATTTGGCGTGGTGCTTGCTTCATTTCTGGATATTTTTTCACGAACTGATCAGTAAGATCTAATATATATTAATTTACTATAATTATTTATTCATAATCATTTATAAAATTTATTATATAATTTTTATCAATAGACCTGATGAACTTAGACGATCGGCAAATTTCTGGGCTTCATGTTTCGCAAGTTTGGCTGTTATCAGTGCATTTGCAAATTTTGCTCAATTATCAATGTTCATGTTATCTGGTGAACGTCTCACAAAACGTCTTAGAAGATTAACTTTTGAAGCATTATTAAACCAAGAAATTGCATACTTTGATGATGAAAAAAATGGAACTGGTGTGTTAACTTCAAAATTGGCAGTAGACGCAACGAAAGTTAAAGGGTTAAGTGGTGGTCTAATGGGAACTGTTCTACAGAATTGTTTTAATACAGTAATTGGATTAGTATGCATTGTGATTACTTTTTTCCATTTTTTAAAAAAAGGATTAGAGGCTAAAGAAAAATTTATTTAATGTAGGGGCTTGCCTTTGGTTTCGGTTGGAAATTGGCATTAATCATCCTTGCTGCCTCACCAGCTCTTGTAATTTCTGGCTTTTTAGAAATGAGTGCGATGACTGGTTTTGGTTCAAAGGTAATTAATAATGCGATTATATATATATATATATATACTTCATCAATTATAATTGCCATGTAGTTTACAATTTATATTTATTTATCAGACACGCGCAGCATATGAAGGCACTGGTCAAATAGTTCAACAAAGTGTTTCCAATATGCGAACGATTGCGGCATTAACTAGAGAAGAAACCTTCAAAACAAGATATCAAAATGCAATAAGAGAGCCACATAAAATCGCAATTAAAGGAAGTTTACTGTCATCATTTGGATTTGGTACAGCTCAAGGGATGCTGTACTTTTTTTTGTCTCTAGCACTTTGGTATGGTGCAAAATTAATAAAGTCTGGTGAATATGATTTACAACAAATGCTTCGAGTTATGTTTTCTGTTTTGCTTACGGGTATTACTCTTGGACAAATGAGGTAAATTAAATTTTAACTTAAAAAATTATATTATCATCTCAGGGTTAATAATTTAATTACTTAATTTTTTTTTTATGATTTAGTACATTCGCACCAGATTTCGCAAAAGCAAAAGTTGCGGCCCTTTCAATCTTTGAAATTTTAGATAGAAAATCTCTTATAGATCCTACAGATAACGAAGGCAAGGACCGTCCTACGCCAGTATTAGGAGATTCTTCATTCCACTCTGTTCATTTCAATTATCCTGCTCGTCCGAATGTACCAATACTTCGAGGTTTGGACTTGTCAATATATTCTGGAAAGACCATTGCGCTTGTTGGATCATCAGGTTCAGGGAAATCAACGGTTGTTTCGTTATTGCTAAGATTTTATGATGTGAATTCTGGAGAAGTTGAAGTTGAGGGTGTTAATGTACAGCAATGGAATTTAGAGTATTTAAGAGCGAATATGGCGTTGGTTGGACAAGAACCTGTGTTGTTTGATTTGACAATTGCAGAGAATATTGTATGTTATTGTTTCTTAATTTATTTAGAATCTTTAATCATTCATTGATAATTCATTTTGTCTGAAAATGTTTTCTATTCTAAAAGGCATATGGAAAAGAAGGTTGTACTACAGAAGAAATCGAAGAAGCTGCGAAAGAAGCAAATATCCATAATTTTATTACAGCTTTACCGGATGGGTATAATACTCGCGTAGGCGAAAATGGAACACAACTTAGTGGTGGTCAAAAACAGGTTAATAACTTTTAAGCTCTTTGAGACGTTGCACATAAGAATGGATTCGGTTCTAATTGTTTACGATCTAAATTTGAAATGATTTATTCTTTTTAAACTATTAATTAAAGTTGAATTTTGTCAATGCTATCTTATAAACAAAAAGCAGGATACCTTCTCTGAAATTCAAAATTTTCAATATTAGTACATGTCAGTAACGGCCGTTTAACCGGCTATCACTGATGATAAATTTAAATTTTGGAGAAGGTATCTTGCTTTTTGCTTATATGATAGTATGAATAGAATATGGTTCTTAATTAATAGCTTGAAAAAAAAAATCTTATCAACATTTAGTAAATTGATTATAACCGATAACTGGCCATAACCGACCGAACCCATCTCTAGCTGCACATAAGTATACATTATTGGAGTAATGTTACTCGTGTGCCGCTATGAAATTAAGGATTATGTAATTCGTGAAAAAATAGCATGTCAGAAATGTGCTGGGTTAGGTTAGGTGATTATATAGTAAAATCTACTTATGTTTGAGAAATCAGATTTTTATAAAACGAACGTTTGATCGTGTTACGTTACACCAGTTCTTAGTTTAGGGAATATGCTCCACAAACCTGCTGACATGACGCGTTCCCACAAAAAATTGGTCAAGATCAGAGTCAAAACAAACGTGTTTTGTTTTCTAAGTAAAAAAGTTACGTGTAAAATGAAAACAAGAAAACCGTGTTATATTTAGGGTTAGGATTAGAACAATATAGCACTATTAGTAAAACGTCGCGAAAAACATTTTTAATTAGGCCGCAGAAGGCGGTTTCCTACTCAAATTTAGTGTTTCGTTTCGAGTTTTACTTTACACCTGATCCTGAAATTCAATTGGTCAAAATTACAGAGGGTGAACAATTTTTTGTGGAAGAACTAGGGGCGTCAAAAATATCATGCCAAAGAAATTCACATAATCATATAAAATGCTAGATAACGACAAAATGCATAAATTAAATTTTTTTTTTTTTTTTTTTTTTTTTTTTTTTAGAGAATTGCAATAGCACGAGCTTTAATTCGTTCTCCGAAAATTTTATTACTTGATGAAGCAACTTCAGCACTAGACTCTGAATCTGAAAAAGTTGTACAAAATGCATTGAATAATGCCAGTAAAGGTTTATATCATCAATTTCGAATTTATATTAATAAAATTAATAACATCAATAAATATGGGTTTACTGATTTTTTTTTTGAATTTAGACCGTACAACACTTACAATAGCCCATCGATTATCAACGATTCAAAATGCTGATTTAATCTTGGTTTGCAAAAACGGTAAAATTGTTGAATCTGGTAAACATTTTGATTTAATAAATCAAAAAGGATTGTATTATGAATTGGTTACCAAACAAACTTTGAAGAAAAACGATCATATAGAGGATTGAACTTTATTTATACAAACATTATTATTGAATTAAAGTATTTTTATAATAATTAATAGAACAATTATATCCATGTTGTCTCACACCATACTACGTGATGTGCATTTATTTATACAACTTCTTATTAATATTATATTACATTATCTTTATATACATTCAATATACCATCCTTAAATTCTATATATTCGAAATTATTATCATTACCAGGTCAGATGACTTTATTAAACATATAAACATTTCATTCATTATTATTATATGCTCTTAACATATAGAATATATTTAAAATCTTCAATTAATGGATAGAAGATAGGCTTTGTACTACCAGTAGTACATTTATTAAAAAGTTTAAAAAATTTCAAAAAATTTTTTTTAAAAAAATTTTATTTATTTAATTTTAATAAATACAGTCAGACCTCATTATTTCTTAAACCGTCTAGCGGCTATATATGGCCGCTAAAATGTTTTTTTTATATATTTTTTGTAATTACTTAAAATTTTAT